TGATCTTAGTTATTTCCTTCCTTCTACTTGCTTTGGGCTGTTTTTGTTGTTGTTCCTCGAGTTCTTGCAGGCGTAGAGTAAGGTCATTTGTTTGAAATGTTTCTGTTTTCTTTAGGTAGGTCTGTATTGCTATAAACTTCCCTCTCAGGACTGCCTTGGCTGTATCCCATAAGTTTTGGGTTGTTGTGAGATCATTTTCATTTGTTTCCAGAAACTTTTTGATTTCTTCCCTAATTTCATTCTTGACCCATTCATTGTTTAATAGCATACCGTTCAGTCTCCATGATTTTGGGTGTTTTGGGTTTTTTCCTTTGGGGTTGGTTTCCAGTTTCAGTCCCTTATGGTCAGAGAAAATGCTTGGTATGATTTCAATATTCTTGAATTTGTTGAGGCTTGTTTTGTGCCCTATCATGTGGTCTATCTTTGAGAATGTTCCATGTGCATTTGAAAAGAATGTGTATTTAGTTTCTTTGGGGTGAAGAGCTCTGTATATATCAGTTAGGTCCATTTCATCAAGGGTGTTGTTTAATGCCGCAATGTCTTTGTTGATATTTTGTTTGGAAGATCTGTCCATTTTTGATAGTGGGGTGTTAAAATCCCCCACTATAATTGTGTTGCTGTCTATATCTTTCTTGAATTCCTCTAAGATTTTCCTTATATATTTTGGTGCTCCTATGTTGGGTGCATATATATTTATGATGTTAATGTCTTCTTGGTGGATTCTTCCCTTGAGTATTATGAAGTGATCTTCTGGGTCACTCTTTATGGCTCTTTTTTTGAAGTCTATTTTGTCTGATATGAGAATTGCTACCCCAGCTTTTTTTCTTGTCCATTTGCTTGGAAAATTTGTTTCCAGCCTTTCACTTTTAGTCTGTGATGGTCTTTTGTCCTGAGGTGGGTCTCTTGTAGGCAGCATATGTGTGGGTCATACTTTCTTATCCATGACGCTATTCTGTGTCTTTTGATTGGAGCATTTAATCCATTTACATTTAAGGTTATTATTGATAGGTACTTATTCATTGCCATTTTTGTACCTGTGTTCCTCTCTGTCTGTCTCTTTTCCTTCCTTTCCTTAAAGCAGACCTTTTAGTATTTCTTGTAGAGCTGGCTTGGTGGCAGCAAATTCTTTTAGACTTCTTTTGTCTTGGAAGCTCTTTATTTGGCCTTCTATCTTGATTGAGAGCCTTGCTGGGTAAAGTAGCCTTGGTTGTAGGCCTCTGTTTCTCATTACTTGGAATATTTCTTGCCAATCTCTTCTTGCTTGGAGTGTTTCCATTGAGAAGTCGGTGGCTAACCTTATTGGGACACCCTTGTATGTTATTTCTTTTTTCTCCCTTGCTGCCTTTAAGATTCTCTCTTTGTCTTGGAAGTTTGCCATTTTAATGATGATGTGTCTTGAAGTGGGCTTCTTTGGGTTCCTCTTGAATGGGACTCTGTGTGATTCCTGGATTTGTGTGACTTTTTCTTTTGTCAAATTAGGGAAATTTTCTCTCATTACTCTTTCAAATATGTTTTCTATCCCTTGTTCTTCTTCTTCTCCTTCTGGTATTCCTATTATTCGGATATTATTACGTTTCATATTGTCTTGCATTTCTCTTAATCTCTCTTCATTCTTTCTGAGCCTCTTTTCCCTTTCCTGTTCTTTCTGTGAGATGCTTTCTACTTTGTCCTCCAATTCACTAATCCGATCTTCTGTTTCATCCACCCTATTTTTAATGCTTTCCACTGTGTTTTTTAATTCAGAAATTGTATTCTTCATTTCCTCTTGGCCCTTGCTAATAATTTCCATTTCCTTTTCATGTTGATATAGTTCACAGTGAGATCATTGTAGCTTCCCTGTAGTTTCTGGTAGCTGATTGTGAGCTCTTTGAACTTCCTGATCACCAGTGCTTTGAATTCAGTATCTGATAGTTGACTTGCCTCTGTTTCATCTAACATTCTTTCTGAGGATTCCTCCTTTCCTTTCATTTGGGGATTGTTTCTTTGTCTTCCCATTGTTTGTGAGACTCTTCTTGTTAGCCTCAGCTTCTTAGATTAATCTGTTTTGACACCCTGGGTTTATGGTATGAACTTTTGTGGTGGAATGCCTGTGAATTTCAATGGTGCAGCCTCTTTTGGTTATCCTGTTGTTCTCTGCTTCCACCTACTCAAATATGCAGCAACTTGTGGCTTCTCTCCTACAACAATGTGCAATTTGTCTCTCTGACTCTACTATTGGGAGGCCTCTTCTATGGGTCCAGCTCTGGTCTTTTTATATTTTCAAGTTGATTGTGACTCTTGTGGGTAAAAGAAAGAAATGATAAGGAAAGAAATAAAAGGAAGAAAGAAAAAATGGTAGGGGAATGGAAGAAAGAGCAATAAGTTTAGAAAGAAAAGAAAAAGAAATAAAACAGAAAATCCGGGAAAAGAGGACAAAAGTATGGAAAGATGAAACAGTAATAAAGTTTAAAAGAAATAACAGTTTACTTTAAAAAAGCAAAAAGATAAAGAAAAGGAATGGAGAAGGAAGAAAGGTAAATAAAAAAAGAAAGAATAAAAATAAAATAAAGTAAAAAAACAAAAAACAAAAAACGCACAAAAATAATCTCTCAAAAACAACCTCAGAAAAAGGAATGTCACTTGTTGGCTTCAAACTAGCCGAACCGGTTTTTCTGGTTGCAGTTGGCTGAGGGTCGATTGTTGTGATTTTTTCAGCCAGCCCCTCTCAGGATCCAGACACTTGGCGCCTCTCCCCCAGCTCCCTACAATGGGGAACTAGGACTTTCTTGTAGTGCTCCCCTCCTAGGGGTTACCGTCATAGACTGGTTTGCTGTGTTTGCGGGCACCTGCACCGGCCTAGTTGCCTGGTTCCCTCGGGATTGAGCACAGGCCAGCCCCTGTTCAGTTGGGAAGCCCCAGACCCTCTGCCCAGTCCTGGGTTTGCTGCCAAACTGGGTGTGAAGCAGACCAGGCTGCAGTGTCTACTGGATTCAGGGCCCCAGGCTGCACCTCTGAGTTCTCCTGGGCTGGCAACCACAGAGTCTTTGGTTGGGGCCCTTTGTCCTCCGCACCCTCTCTGTAACTCTATCAAACAAGTCTCTCCTGGCCCCCCACCTTGCTTGGCCAGAAAGGGAGGAGGTTGAGGGTCTCAGCTCTTTTCCCAGGACCCCTCAGCGTCCCGGGCTTCCAGATAGTCTGAGGGGGGTAGACTGGAAGCCGGGAGCCGATCTGAGGACTGGGCACAGACCTAGAAACTCTGTGTGCTCGTCATGGCACACTGTGTGGTGTGTATCCCTTCTGCTCCTGTGTTTGTCTGGGTTCCCTGGCCAACCTCTGGCAAAAAAAAAAAAAAAACCAAAAACAAAAACCCTAGGGATGTAGCAGCACCAGGCCGGGTGCTGGACCCAGAACTGTGTGCAGGCTGAAATCTCCTCTGCTCCCCTCTGGTTGGGTCTCTTGGCCGGTCCGGGCCCAAAAATCCTAGGGAGGGAGCTTTCTGGGCGCTGAACGTTGGCCTAGGCGCCCTCAGGCACTTGCCCAGACACACTGCGTGTGGATCGACTAGTTCCCCAGATTGCGCGCAGGCTGAAATTTCTTCCACACCTCTTTGCCTGGGCCACTCGGCCTGCCTGGCAGAAAAATTCCAGGGAGGGAGCCGTCTGGGCGCTGAAGGCTGTCCCAGGAGCCGTTGGGCTCTCGCCACAGGGCGCTGGTTCCCCTACCCTGCACCGGCTGTTTCTCCCTGCTCCGTCCTAGAGACTACTGTACCGCTGCTGTCTCCCTACCGTCTGGTTCCTCCGTGACCGATGAGGTTTCTGGTCTCTTATTTTCATATATGCTTGGCAACTGCTGGCTTGCTGGCCTCACCTCGTCCGATCGGATAGGTTTCTGTCTCTTTTGTACTAGGAACTGGTATCTACTCCGTCCTAGTCCACCGCCATCTTGAAAACCCCCTCCTAATGTGGGTCCTTTGTAAGAGTTATCAGTCTATTGATCTATTAATTGATGTGTCTGTGTACTTGATTTCGTTGATCAAAAAGAGAGAGAAGTTACTTCTTATTTATAAATATGAAGAAAAGCCTATCTTCCTTATTACATAATAATAATTCTAAAAACCCTTATAAATCTCATTTTGTGATACTAAGTGAACAATACACTCCATGGAGATAGGCATTATTCCAACAATGCAAGTTTGCTAAGTATTGGTTGTGATAGAGTCTTTGAATGTTTTATTTATAGGATTTAGAACAGGAGAATAGTTTATCAAAAACTTTCAAATATATGGAGACTGAGTAACATGTTATTAAATAATGAATGGGTCTACAATGAGTTCAAGGAAGAAATCAAAAGTATCTGGAAAAAATTAAAATGAACAAACAACAAACCAAAACTTATGGGACACAGCAAAGGCGGTATAGGGAGGAACGTTCAGAGCAATATAGGCCTATCTAAATGCAATGGAAAAACCTTAAATTAGGAACCTAACCCTACTTCTATAAGAACTAGAGGAACAACAACAAACAGTGCCCACACTGAGTAGAAGGAAGAAAATAGTCAAGATCAGAGAAGAATTAAATGACATAGGCACTAAAAGAACAATGCAAAGGATTGATAAATCTAAGACCTGGTTCTTTGAATTGACAAATCTTTAATCAGACTCGTCAAGAAAAAAAGAGGGAGGACCCATATAAATAAAATCAGAAATGAAAGAGGAAAAGTTACAACTGAGATCACAGATATACAAATGATTGTAAGAAATTACTATGAACAACTATATGTCAAGAAATTGCACAGTCTGGGTGAAATTAACACATTTCTAGAAACATACAATCTGCCAAAACTGAATCAAGAAGAAGCAAAAAGCCTGAATAAACCAATAAAAACTAGTGAAATTGAAATAATAGTCAAAAACTCCTGACCTGACATGCAAAAGCCCTGGACCAGATAAATTCACATGTGAATTTTACCACATGTTTAAGAAACAACTCCTATCCTTCTCAAACTATCCTAAAAATTTCAAGAAGAAGGAAGAGTCCCAAAGTGTCTTTATGAGGCCAGAGTCATTCTAGTCTCCAAACCACACAAAGACACAACAAAGGAAAAAAAGCTACAGGCCAATATCACTGATGAGTATAGATACTAAAATTCTCAATAAAATACTCACAATAAAAATTGAGAAATGCGTTAAAAAGACCATATACCATGATCAAGTGGGATTCATCCCAGGGATACAAGGATGTTACAATATTCTCAAATCAATAAACATTATACATCACATAAGCAAAAGGAAAGACAAAAATTACATTACCCTATAGTAGATATGGAAAAAGCATTTGATAAGATACAGTGTCCATTTATGATAAAAACACTCAGCAAAGTGGTAGTAGAGGAAGCATACTTCAACATAATAAAGCCCATATATGAGAAACCTACAGCCAACATCATACTCAATAGGCAAAAAACTAAAAGCTTTCCTACTAAGATCAGGAACAAGACAAGGGTGTCTGCTTTCACCACTTCTATTCAACACAACATTGGAAGTTCTAGCCACAGTGATCAGACAAGAAAAAAATAAATGTCATCCAAATTAGAAAGGCGGAAGTAAAACTCACTGTTTGCAGATGACATGATAGTGTACATGGGAAAGCCTGTAGACTCCATCAAAAAAACCTACTTGACCTAATAAATGAATTTGGAAAAGCATCAGGATACAAAGTCAATATTCAGAAATCAAAAGCATTTTTGTACACCAACAATGAAATATCAGAAACAGAAATTCGGAAAAAATCCAATTTACTATAGCAACAAGAAAAAACAAGGTTCCTAGGAATGAATCTAAGTGAGGAGGTAAAAGACCTGTACTCAGAAAACTACACAACACTGAATAAAGAAATGAAGAAAGACACAAATAAATGGAAGAATATAGCATGGTCATGGATTAGTAGAATTAATATCATCAAAATACCCATACTACCCAAAGCAATTTATAGATTCAGTGCAATCTCTATTAAAATACCAATGACATATTTCACAGGTATAGAACAAACATTTCAAAAACTTATGTGGAACCATAGATGACCCTGAATTTTCTAGCCATTTTTATTTTACTTTATTTTATTTTTAAAAGATTTTATTTATTTATTTTCAGACAGAGAGGAAGGGAGGCAGAAAGAAAGAGAAACATAAATGTGTGGTTGCCTCTTGCACACCCTCTACTGGGGACCTGGTCCTGTACCTAGGCATGTGTTCTAGATTGGAAATCAAACTAGCGACCCTTTGGTTCACAGGCTCACACTCAATCCAATGAGCCACAGCAGTGAGGGCTCCTAGCCACTTTTAGACAGAACAATGTAGGAGTGATCACAATACCTGATATCAAATTATATTACAAGGCCACTGTAATCAAAACAGTCTGGTACTGGCATAAGAACATACACATAAATCAAAGGAACAGAATAGAGAGCGCAGAAATAAACCCATGCCTCTATGGTCAATTAATATTTGACAAAGGGGACAGGAGCATAAAATGGAACAAAAATAATCTCTTCAACAAATGGGGTTGGGAGATCTGGATAGCTACATGCAAAAAAATGAAACTTGACCACCAACGTATATCATACACCAAAATAAACTTATAAAAGACTTAAATAAAAGTTGTGACACCATAAGAATCCTGGAGGAAAACATAGGCAGGAAAATTTCAGATATCCTCTGCAGCAGTATTTTCACTGATACATCCCCTAGAGCAAAGAATATAAAGGAAAGAATAAACAAATGGAAGTTCATGAAATTAAAACGCTTCTGCATGGCTAAAGAAAACATCAGGAAAATGAAAAGGGAATCATTTTTTCCTTTTGTTTCCCAATGATAAATTGGGAAAAATTTGTTTCCCAATGATAAATCAGACAAGAGTTTGATCTCCAAAATATATAAAGAACTCACATGAGTCCACAGCAGCAGGAGGACAATCAGTCCAATTAAAAAATGGGCGAAGGACCTGAACGGACACTTCTCCAAGGAGAAAATGCAGAGTACCCAGAGACATATGAAAGGATGCTCTGCATCACTAGGCATCAGAGAGATGCAAATTAAAACCACAATGGGATACCACTTTATACCAGTCAGAGTGGATATCGTAAATGAGTCAACAAACAATAAGTGCTGATGAAGCTGTGGAGAAAAGGTAACCCTAGGACACTGTTGTTGGGAATGCAGACTGGTGTAACCACTGTGGAAAACAGTATGGAATTTCCTCAGAAAACTAAAAATGGAACTGCCTTTTGACCTGGTGATTCCACTGCTGGGACAATATCCTAAGAATCCCAAAACACCAATCCAAAAGAACCTATGCACTTCAATGTTCATAGCAGCACAATTTACAATAGCCAAGTGCTGGAAGCAACCTAAGTGCCCCTCAGTAAATGAGTGGATCAAAAACAGTGGTACATTTACACAATGGAGTACTATGCAGCAGAATGAAAGAAGACATTCCTACCTTTCATGAGAGCATGGATGGACTTGGAGAGCATTATGCTAAGTGAAATAAGCCCAGCAGTTTAAGACAAATACCATATGATCTCACCTATAAGAGGAATCGAATGAACAAAATAAACTAATGAACAACATAGAACCACAGGCAAGGAAACGTGGAAGAGAGTGAATGTGACCTGAGGGGAGTTAGTGGTGAGGGGACTAATGGAGGAAAGAAGGGGAAGGGACTAGACCTAGAACTGTTATCCAACAGTGTGTCCATGGACTGTGGGAGTGGTGTGTGAGTGTGAGATGGGTAGGGGAGGGCAAAGGGGGAAAATCGGGAAAGTTCTAATAGAATAACAATAAAAATGATTTAATAAAAAAGAAAATTAAATTAAACAAATAAATAATTAAAGTAAATCTTGTACTTAGTGAGCACTTACTCTGCACCAAACACTTCTTTTGTTTCTTCATGTGTAACTAATAATTTCATCCTCATAAACTATATGTATACTTTTTAATCATTTGGGTATGATTACTATTTCAAATTCCAGGATGGATAATCCGAGGTATGGAGAAATAAAGACTTGCTCAAAATCACATTGCTGGTGTAAAAAATGAGCGATAGTGTTACTAAAGTTTGAAAAAAATGTAAAAATTGCAAGAATGCTGAAATTTAGCATTGATCATTAGGTTCTGTGAGTAAAATAGTTCTTGCACTGAATATGGGCCCAGTTACTAACTCACTGTGTGGCCTTAAAAGTGTAAAGTTAATTCTTATGAAATATACATAAGGATAAAAACATCTCTTTCACAGGGTCAATATGAATATACAAGTATATTATAAAAATGCATAAAAAGTGCTAAGATGTGGGAGTGACTTCTTCTCGAGTCCCCCCTGGTGCCACGGACACGAGTGAATGAATATGGCCCTCGACATGCTGAGATCTGCTTGGGGAGGAGAAGTGGGCTGTGGCCAGTTTCTCAGGGGAGACAAAGGCCGGCAGCAGCCAGTTTCTCCAAGGAGAAAAAGGCCCTGAGCTTCCTGCTCCATAGCCTTTTATTGGGTTGTAATACACAGGATACAGGGCAGCAAGGATCGAACAATAGATAACATTTCAAAGAAATCTGAGGGCTTACTGTGAGTCAGAGTCTGTCAGGAACAGAGTTTCAGGGTTTCCTCCTCGGACCCTTAACATATGAATGAAAGTGCTCTTGCAGAGCAGATTTCACAGGTTTATCAGCAAGTCTTTGTGATGCTAGATTTTTCTCCAGGACATGTTCTAGCAAGGCAAGGAGCTGCACATCTCCCCAACAGGTATTCAGGCTTAAGGAGATTAGAGCCAGCAAGTGCTTCTGTGCCAATTAGTATCAGTTAACTCACAGCTCTGCACCCTCAAAGAAAAAATTGTATCTGATTTTCAATATTTCATATTTGGTAGCATAAGTTGTTTTATTGAGTGAATAGATGTCATCAAATTCAGGTTCATCTGTTTTACATACACAGGGTGGGCAAAAGTAAGTTTACAGGTGTGAGTATGTGAAACAGAGTCAACTAAAGAATGTGTACATAATGTAAATAATCCTAGCCTGCCGGTCTTTTTCCATAGAAAGCACTGTAAACCTACTGTTACCAACCCCTGTACCTACAAAGTGTGTACCTCTGTGTTGTACAAAGAACGATTGCCCATTCTTCATATTTCATGTGTTTTGTTGTTACTTGTTTTTAAAATTGTAGTTCTGTTATGGAAGATATTGCAAACTTACCCATACTTACAACAATTCAGTAACCTGTAATTCAGCTCGGAAATGCCGTGGACATGGGGTATGTAATGGTGACTCTATTTTTATGTATAGTTTTAAAAAGAATTCATGTCAGTAACCTTTCCAAGATAATATGTTCAGAATTATTTGATGTGGACATTTCTTATGGAAAGTTGCTGTCAAGAAATTATTTATACACGTATTAGGGCTACATATACTATGTAGTGATCCAGAAAAAAAGTGATGTGTCTGTATGTCTTGATTCACAATTTTCTCCCACATCACTAAAATGTCCTACTATTCACAGTTTATTTTCTGTTTATTTCCTTCTCTAATTTTAATCAAACTTTTGCATGAACCTATTTCTAGATTCTCTATTCTGCTTCTGACCCTTCTTTCAATTCATCTACCATATCACATTTATAAGAACTTAAAAAATTATTATTATTTCTTTATCCTTATTGGAGGACATTTTTTTCATTGCTTGTAGAGAGAGAGGAAGGGATAGAGAGAAACATTGATGTGAGAGAAAAATTTTGATTGGCTGCTACCCTTTTATGCTCTGACTGGGGATTGAACCCTCAACATAAGTATGGGACCTGACTAAGAATCAAACCCACAAACTTTGGGTTATGGGATCACGCTCCAGTCCACTGAGCCACACTGGCCAGGGCAGATATGTAGTTATTTTATAGGTTTCTTATTTTCTAGCAAAATAAATTTTGTTATCTGTGTCTGTTTAAGCAAGTGCTTTCTTTAGATACTCCCCCCTATTTTTTATAAAGGTTGCTTCTGGTCATAGCCAGTTTTTCTTATATAGCACAACTCATAATAAATTTAAACTCCCACAGTTTTATAATTTCTGGCCTCATAATTTCTATTCCTTTCTAGAATAACTATTTCAATTGTATCAACAATGTTATATACTATTATTTAGCAATGCAATAAAAAGCAGGAAATCCCTGTGACATTTGAAAAGATATAATATGGACATGTATTCTATCAAATTTTATTTTAAGAATTATTTTCCGCATTAAAATAAACACTACCTATAACATACTAAATTCTAATACTTTAGTAATGTATATTGATTAACAATGAAAAATAGTGTATTCAATTTTTATATTGTGTACATAATATTCTCATTTTTCATTTGGTTTTGGTTTGAGATTTGTAACACTAGAGGCAATTGTCAGTGTGATGTTGGATATGCCCCTCCTTCTTGTCAATCATCACTGTCATCCCCAGGAGGAAGCATGGATGATGGGTATTGGATTTTGAGTAAAGGTCAGTATCTAATCAGTGTGCTCCATTAGGACTTTCTACACTTCTAGAAATAGTCTACATTTCCACTTTGGATGTAGTTGTTGAGTACCTGGTGTGTGGAAAGTGCAACGAAGGAACTGAAATGTCCATTTTATTTTACTGTGTTTAATTTAAATTTAAATAGCCACGTGTGACTAGTGGCTACTATATCACACAGTGCAGCTCTAAAACATACTGTCAATCAAAGTTTTGTACACACTTTTAATTCAAATCCAGCAGTGAACATTTTAATAGGCTTCCCCTTAAGTTTAACCATGGTTCCCCAAATATTTCTACTGGTATAGCAGAGGTTTCTAAATTGATGTTATTAAATTACAGAATAGGTGACAGTTTTATTATATAGTCTATATTCCAAGGATGTTAACTATTGTGATGTGCTAGTTTGTAACCAATTTGCATCTTTAAAATTAACCATACTATAGAAAGGTAAAAATTATCAAGTCTTTCATACCCGTAGCATATGGACAGTAAATGGTACAAAACATTTTTGCATTTATTTGGTGAGCACTCAGGAACGAATGTAGTATATTTGATTTTTCTAAATTTCACAATGTATAAATCTCATTGCAGTTTAGTTCTATTACTGTCTTTCCATTGTTGGCACTTTTATTGCTCTATATTTTATTTACATATTATATTATAAACCTGATACTACATTATTATTTGCAATAAATATATAATAGATTGTTAAATTTTTTAAATATAAACATTTACATTTGCCTGCCTATTTACCATTTTGTAGGGCTTTTCAACTCTTCTGGCACATTCAAATTTCCATATGGGTCTTTTTCTTTTAGCCTGATAAAACTTTTTTTTGTATTTCTTTTTTTGTGTGTACCTTGTAGTGACCTTATGTTTCAGCCTTAGTTTTTCTTTAAAACATTTTTTAAAACTTTTTTTATTTAGTTATTTTTCAAGTACAGTTTTCTGTTTATTTCTCCCATCCCAGCCACCCTGCCCCATGCTCCCCACCTCCCTCCCATTTCCACCCCCTTTGGTTATTGTCCCTGTGTCCTTTATACTTGTTCCTCTAAATCCCTCCCCTTTTTTCCCCTTAAATTCCCTCCCCTCTCCCCTCTGGTCGCTGTCCCCTGTTCTCTATTTCAGTGTCTTTGTTTTTATTTTGCTTGCTTGTTTGTTTTGTTGTTTAGCTTCCTGTTAAGGGTGAGATCATATGGTATTTGTCTTTCAACACCTAGTTTGTGGAGGGTAGTCTTCACTAGAAGTGCATTTCCACATTGAGAATTGTTTCTCTCAGCAGTTCACAGGGGCAAGCGCATTGTATCCAGGCTTGGATTTTCTGATGAAAATACAGTTGTCATTATTCATCTCAATAATATAATGATTCTTTTATTTTTTGTCTGATTTGCAGACTTATTTTCTATTTTTGATTTTTCACAGTTTCACTAGGATTTACCGGGATGTGTTTGTCTTTGAATTCATCCTGCTCAGGTTGTCCAGATTCTTGAATTTATAGGTCGATGTATTCTTGAAATTTTGGGGGAAAAACCCCAGCCATTGTCTCTTTTTTATTTTTAAAAATGTTCATTTATTAGTTTTAGAGAGAGGGGCAGGGAGGGAGCAGGAGAGTGAGGAAAACATCAATGTGTGGTTGCCTCTCGAGCGCCCCCTACTATGGACCTGGCTTGCAACCTGGGCATTGTGTCCTGAGTGGGGATCAAACTGGTGACCCTTTGGTTCCCAGGCTGGTACTCAATCCACTGAGCCACATCAGCCAGGGCTCTTTATTAATATTTATTTTTATTAAACATATTTGGTTTTAGAAAATTTATGCCCGTTAGCATTTTTATTCTGTGGTATACAGTTCTATAGGTACAGAAAAGAACAGACTTTTGTTCCCATGAATTATTGTCATGACGCACAATAGATCTGTCACCCAAATCTTCCCTCTGGCTTCCCCTTTACACTCATTCCCTACTGCTAATTCCTGAAAAGCAATTACTTGTTCTCTGTCCCCAAAGATTTTCATTTACAGAATGTCATATGCATTTGAGATTCATTCCTATTGTCATATGTTTTAATAGTTAATTCATTTCTGTTTTTAAGTAGCTTTCTATTGAAAAGATATACTATAGTTTGCTTATTAATTCACTCATTGAAGGTTCTGTGGTGCCTCCATCCACAGAAACTTGCCTCAGTACTGCAGTGCAATATCAAAACCGGGAGGTGGACGTTGGTAAAATGCATAGACATTTTTCGAACTTCAGCAGTGTACCTGCACTCATGTGGCTGCACATGTGTGTTTGTGTATTTACTTTTGGGCAATTTTGCCACATGTTCAAATTGGTGTAGTTGCCACCACAGTCAAGGTATAGAAGTGTATCATGACTACATATATTATCACTAATGTTATTCCATGTAGCTACACTGACCCCCTCCATACCTCATTTTTAAATCCTGGCAAATGCTGAACTGCTCTCTATTTCTCTAAATATGTTATTTCATGAATGTTACATACATATATTTGTACAGTTTGTGTCTCTTTCAGATTGGCTTTTATGCTTTCTCATAACTTCCATGAACTAAATCTGAGCTGTTGCATATATGAATATTTCATTCCTTTTTATTGATGATTGGTATTTTTTTAAATTTATTTATTTATCTTTAGAGGGGAAAAGAAGGAGAGAGGGAGAGAAGCATCAATGTATGGTTGCCCTTTGCGCATCCCCTGCTGGGAACTGGCCTGCAGGGAACTGGCCTGCAACCCAGGCATGTGCCCTGACTGGGAATCAAACCGCGATTGTCTGGTTCGCAGGCCTGAGCTCAATCCACTGAGCTACACCAGCCAGGGCCTGATGATTGGTATTTTTATATAGATGTATCAAAATTAGTTTAATTATTTATTCACTGAAGGACATAGGCTGGTTGCCAGTGTTTGCTGTTATAAATAAATCTGCAGTGAACATTCATGTAGAAGACTCTGCATAAAAGTAAATTTTTAACTCTCTGGGAAACATGCCCAAGAGTGAAATTGTTGGGTTGATGGTAAGCCTTTTACAGGGCTTTATTTTTGTAGATATTCAAATTTTATTTTATTTTATTTTAGTTATTCAAGTACAGTTGTCTCCATTTCCTCCCAACCAGTTTTCCCCAGCCCACCCACCCATACTTCTTACCCTCAATTTTACCCCCATTTGGTTTTGTCCATGGGTCCTTTATACATGTTCACTGAATACCCTTCACCTTCTTTCCCCTATTATCCCTCTCCCTTCTGGTTATTGGCAGTTTGTTCTTTATTTTGCCAAATCAACAAGCAAAATATAAACTTACATTTTAAAAAGTGACTGCCAAACTATTCCAGAGCTGCTGACCATTTGACATTTATATCAACAATATGTGAATGACCCAGGTTTTTTTGTCATCCTCACCAGCTATAGTTTTAAGCCATTTAATTAGGTGTGCAGAATATCTCATCGTGGTATTAACTTGCACTTCCCTAATGGATAATGATGTTGAATACATTTAATGTGTTTATTTGGCATCTATATATTTTCAGTGAAAAGTCTGCTCTCTTTTTCTCTGCATTTGTCCAGTTACAAATTGTAAAATGTCTTTCTCCATCAATATTCTTTTTTAGCACTATAAGCAGTAAAAGAAAATTTCTGAATCCTCTGTTATGTTCAGTAGAAGCTGAAAGTTGAAAAAGAAATTGAAAAAGAAGTTGACCCTAGGCCTCTTTTGTGCCTTCTTAGAAGTTGACGTATCACTTTGGGCAACAAAATAAGAAGGCTGAAAATTTTCAATTGGCATACAATTGGGAGCTCAGAAATAAACCCTCAGCCCTGGCTGGTGTAGCTCAGTGGATTGAGCGCAGGCCTGCAAACCAAAAGAAATAAACCCTCACGTATGTGGTCTAATGATTTTCCACATGCATGTCATGACCATTCAGTGAGGGAAAGGACAGTCTTTTCAGCAAATGGTATTGGGATAATGGACATTGATAAGCAAAAGAATAAGCAGGGACCTTTCCTTAAACTATATGCAAAAATTAAGTACAAATGAATCAGAAATTTAAATGTGAGAGCTCAAATGATAAAATTCTTAGAAAAAAACATAGGGGGAAACATTTAAAACATTGGGGTTTGCAATAATTTCTTGGACATGGTGCCAGAAATACAGAAAACAGAAGAAGATAAATTTGAATTCATCATAATTAAAAACTTTTCAAGCAAAGAACACTATCAACAAAGTGAAAAGGTGCCCCATGGAATTGGAGAAAATGTTTGCAAATTACATATCTGATGAAGAATTAATACCCATAATATGTAAATAACTCCTACAATTAAACACCAAGGAAACAACTAACCCAATTAACAAATGGGTAAAGGGCTAGAAAAAACATTTTTCCCAAGAAGATAGTTACAAGGCCAATAAACACATGAAAAGCTGCTCAACATCACTATTTGTTAGGGAACTGCAGGTCAAACCTACAACTAGCAGGGGAGCTGTTATCAAAAAATCCAGAAAATATCAAGTGTTGAAGAGGACACAGAGAAGGTGGAGCCCCTGTGCACTGTCGGTGGAATGAAACATTATGCATCCTCTGTGGAAAACAGTGTAGTGACTCCTCAAAAGATTAAACATAGAATTAGCATATTATCCTGCAATTCCACAGCTAGACATATACCACAAGAATTAAAAGCATGGACTCAAACAGATATGTATGCAGCCATTTCCATAACAGCATTATTTACAATAGAGAAAAGGTAGAAACACCCAAATCAGACAGATGGACAGATAGAGAAATGAAATATGGCATATTCCAATGTGCAATGGAATATTATTTAGCCTCGAAAAGGAATAACATCCTGGCATGTGTAACAACATGGATGGAACTTGAAGACCTGATGCTACCTAATATCACATCTAGATGTGACAGAATGAGCCTGCAGGTTCATTTTTGAGGTTCTTGGAGTGGTCAAATTCACGGAGAGAGAGTC